TTCCAATCAACCTCTGCAGCTGACAAGCCCAAAAGCTCTGGAGTCTGTCTGCTCTGGGAACATACTCCGGCCCTTTTCCCTGGGAAAGAAAACTCGCCAGTCCAGGTTCCTGATGTCAGTTTGTAGGGCTCCCTTGGGTCTATCAGGGCAGCATAAGTTTGAGGTGGGGGCAGCTGGGGTCTGGGGTACATCCTTCGATGTTTGGATTTTTTGCAGTCAGCCACCTGCTCAGGGCCAGGGACCTCTGGGCATATACTCTGTCCCTTTTCCCTGGGAAAGAAAACTCACCAGTCCAGGTTCCTGATGTCAGTTTTTAGGGCTGGACAGGGATCACAGACAGTGTCTCTGGGACTCTGTATGGGGGGTTCCTGACGCCCTGCAAGGGTCCCAGACGCCCCAGGGCAGCCTGAGGGATGCCCTGGACTCCCAGACAGTGTCACAAAGGGACCTGGGGCTGATGGCAGGGTGCTGGAGTGTGGTACAGAGGGTGGGGGCAGCTGAGAGGCAGCAGGGGTCTGTAGGAGTAAAAAGGGGGGCACAGAGACACTGAGAGGCTACGGTGGGGAGCTGGAGGGTGACACATGGAGGCTGAGGGGCAGAAAGGATATTTAGGAGTAAAAAGAGGGGCACACGGATGCTGAGAGGCTACGGTGGGGAGGTGGATGGCGACACATGGAGGCCAAGAGGCAGAAGGGTCTGTAGGAGTAAAAAGGGGGACACAGGGACACTGAGAGGCTGCGGTGGGGAGCTGGAGGGTGACACATGGAGGCTGAGGGCAGAAGGGGTCTGTAAGAGTAAAAAAGGGGTCGCAGAGATGCTGAGAGGCTGCTGTGGGGGAATGTAGGGTGACACAAGGAGGCTGAGAGGCAGGGGGTGCCTTGAGGGACAAAGTGGGGGGGGCCTGAGGGTTACAGGTGAACCAGCCCTCACACCACCCTTAACCTCACCCTAAAAACCACCCCTCCCCAGGTGGGGAGTGCACGATGGAGGTTAGGGGGCCAAGTGAAAGTGTCGGGGGCTTGGGGTGACACACAGACATTGTGGGCTGAGGGGCAAAGAGAGGGGGACTTGGCAGGTGGAGAGTTGACACTGAGGGTTAGGGGTACAAAGGACAGGACACAGGGTACCAGGAAGGTGTAAGAGGCTGTCTGAAGACCCTCACTCATTTGCCTGCCGATTGCCATGAGCAGGAACTCCCTTCCCCCTCTGCAGTACCGGCTTGGAGAAGGCAACAGTGCAGGTTACGTTAGCTGCTCCCAATGAGGCCCGGCAAGAAGTTGGCAAGGACTTGGCGAAGACCCAGCATGGACCTAGCATGGAGTGGCCTGCTGAAATTCCTGGTTCACTCTCCACCTTTAAGCTGAATGAACTGTTGGGGTGACTCTGGTGGTCTCTCACTGAAGACCCCTCATCTGCCTCACTACCACTGTGACAGACAGAGATCAAGAACCCTCTCCCCAAGGACTGAGACTGAGACCCCTACCACAGGGAGTGGGGGGGGTGCAGGGAGGGGAAGGATGACCTGACCTGTTCTTCTCCAGTAACTTCAATGGACTTATTCTTCATTGTGTTTGTTTAGCCTGGATGATTTTCTGTAGATACACCTGTTCCCCCCACAGCAATTTCAATAGACTCTCATTGTTCTGCATGTTTCCCCCTTTTCCCTCTGTGGACTATAACTGGACCCCTGGGTTGGTTAGGACTTTGGAGACTCCCCAACACAACAAGACGGATCCCCATCGTCCAGACCAGTGAGGACCTCACCTGTGTTGGTAGCTATTCCCGTCCCCCCCCCCTCTCTCTCTCTCCCTCTCTCTCTATCTTTTTTATTTCTTTTCTGACCCCACTATTGCATTTATTGTTTTGGCCCCTAATAAAGGTGCATTTGTTGTGATTAAACTGATAGTCCCCTGCTGTTTGTCTTCTGCATTTTGGGAT